CTCCCGGCGGCCGCGCCCCCTCAGCGTCGTCCCCACCCCCAGGCTGAAGCACCGCCCCCTCTTAAAGGGCCGCGCAGCGCCACAGGATTCGGACTAGGGCCAGGTGCAAACAAGCAGATCTGGGCGGTGGCCGCCACCCTGGACTCTGCAGCACAAGCTAAGCCTCCGCCAGACCCTGGGGTGGACGATAGGTCACTCGTCTCCGAGGCTTTCCCGGCTCTAGGGCTCTGTCCTTGGAGGTCGCAGGAGGCACTCTAGGCCTGGTGGTGAGCCTGGCCTCCAGCTGGGATACAGAGACCCGGGATCTCAAGGGCACCCCAGGCCAACACAGCTCAAAGCCCCCAAGGAGTGTAGCGGAAACCCAGCCCCGGAGTGGCCCCTTTCCTTGGAAAGACCCCATAAGGCCCTCAGACCTGCCACTGTCTCTGTCCCCGGGCTTCAGCCTCATTTACAAAGGAAGTGACCTGGCCCGGCCCCTCAGAACCTTGGTGAGCTGTCTTGGCACTCTGTGCAGCCCGCCCCCAGGACAGGAAGAGGAGCCTTGTGATTGCAGTATCCTTATCTACCAAGGGAGCGATTGTGCAGTCTCCTTACCCATTATGGGGGCGGAAGGGTGCCTCACTGGGGCCCCAGAGCAGGCCCAGCACAGACTCACCCTACCCGTCAAGGGTTTTGAAAAGACAGGGCGCCCACCACCCTCCCAGGTAGTATCACCACCCAGACAACAGCAACTCAAGGGGTGCTCGGTTGGGACCTAAACCCTACCCCTTCTTCTGTAGGGCGTGATGGTGGCATCTGCATTTGTGAACTTTCCTTGGTGGTTGGGGGCAAGCCTAGCACCTTCTGAGAAATCGCTGAGCGCTGGGGAGAGCACACATGAGCCATGAAAGTAAGGGAAGAAACGTTAAAATTTTAATCTTTAATTTTTCACCTTTTTCCTTTGTTTTGCTTCCAAAAGAAAAGGAGAGCGTGGCTCTGCCCCTTGCACATCGTCCACAGCCCCTACGCAGGGGCAGGCAGTTTGGACCTCATTGCCGGCCAGCTGCCTGGGGGGACTGGGGCTCACGAGGGGTACACATGCAGCCCCTGGGGCCGGGGTGCCGCCTTATTGCTGAGGTCTGTTCCTGGCTTGGCTCCGGGCGCAGCAGCTCCGCTAGGCGCGCTGGCTGGGCAGCTCCTGGGAGAGGAAGCGGCGCAGGCGCTCCAGGTACTGGCTGTAGAGCTCAATGTCGTTGTGCCCGGCGCCCTCCACCCACAGTGGCTCCACGGCCTTGGGGCAGCGCTCATAGAGCGCCAGCCCGTGCGAGAAGTCGATCACCTCGTCCTCCGTGCCATGGATGATAAGCACCGGCGATGTGATCTTGGACACCTTCTCGATGCTGAAGGGTGGGGCGTGTCAGGCCTCCAAGCCCCGCCCCCACCAAGGCC